CTGCGTAATAAGGTTACTTCCCATTTACACTGGAGCACCAGCATCTCAGCCACTCCGCAGCAGCTGTTAATCCTCTCGGGGTGGTGGAGTATATGCAGCGCTGTAGCCACGGAGATACAGCGCTGTAAGTGCCCTGCCAGTGTGGTCGGGGAGTGAGTTACAGCTCTGGGGACAGCTTTATTGCGCTGTAACTCTCAAGTGTAGCCAAGGCCTATCTCTTGCAGCAAGCAGTATATAAAGCTTTAGAATTAAGAAAACTGCTATGCATGCCTATACTATATCTATCTAGCGGTTCCTGAACTTTGGTCCATGGAGCACGTGCTGATGGTTCAGAGACCTGGCTTGTCACATAGTGCTGGCTCTTCTCATTTTTTGTTGATGAAGTGCATTAAAATGTAAATGTAAGGTATTTTATCATCTTAATTCTTCCATGTAAATATATTGCTGTAGGTGTCACAGTGATGTAATGTGACTGTGATTGGGAGGTGACATTAGTGATCTTAATAATCTCAATTAAGAATATGTTTCACCCTGTGAAAAGCTTGGAACTCCCTTCATCATCTAGCTAAATATTTAGTGTTATACATGGGGATGATAGTAAGGTACCTTTTTAACCTCCTGAGTTGATCAATTTATTGTATGCCCTAAAGCATGAGCTTTAACCTTCAAGCTCATACTTGAATATTACTCTTCTGGTTACAGAGTACCAACAGGGTACTATCCCAGCAGGATATCCATAATCTTGGACATGCCTACTTTAACCTAACAAATGATCCTTGCTTGTTGCCAGTTCCAAAGACTAATTAACAATGGTCAGGTCCATAAGCATAACTGTATAGACAACAGAAGAAGAATGTTGATCTGTTTGGTGATGGAATTAATGTAAACAATGTACATTCTATGCTGGGATGCTATTAAAAAAAGTGAGTCATTTACTTTAATAAAGAAGAAATTAACATACTTTTCAAAAGTGCCTAGACTATGTCAAATGACTTCTGAAGGCAGCATTGTTAAGAATTAATAAAGAATCTTGCCTGAAAGCATGTCACATGGGAAGACCGTTGTTCCTGTTAATAGGTTCAGAAAAATGACTTGACAGCAAAAAGTCTTAAAGCAAATAGACTATTTTCCTGTGCTTTTAAAGTCTAAGGTTTCTCTAGCCTAGAAATATACCAGCTTTATCCTCATTTTATTGTTTCCACTATTTTTGAGGTGTATTGTGCAACGAAGAGGAAATGAAAACAATCTTTAAACATTCAAGTGTAAAGATGTTTATTTGACACCTGCAATGTGGGAAAATAGAAAAATGGCAAATGTTCTCTCAGAAAATTTACAGGGTATATTAACACTGTTTACATTAGCAATGCAAAGTATTTAAGCTACTAAGAAGCACTGCTTATTGTCACTGAATTTTAACAAGGCTGTCATCAGTCCTTCATACCTGAACTCTGTTTCTGTCTTCTTCTTTTTTGGCAGAAACATTTGAAACCTGGGTTTTATATTGCCTTACAGGTTCCTTCTCCTTCAAAATGGACTTGTCTGTCCTATTAAGTAAAGTCTCCTCATGGTTTGTGATGGTACCAGAGGCACCTTTGATTATAGATCATGTACAGTTAGGCCCTGCATATTTTACAAATTTAACATTTATTTTAAAATATATTTAATTTTTATTTCAGTGGAATTCAAAGTACTTATCCTGGACTCTGAACTTGCACAGCATTTTAAAAGTATATTAAAAATAAAACAATCAAATACAGAAGCATACACAGACTGCCATAAATTCACAATGATGCTGGCTAATATTACTAAATTAAGTAGTAATCCCATTTTTCCATAGCAGGAAATAAATAACTAATACGTTTTCAGCCTATACATTTCTTAAATTGCTTTTAAGCACTTGAGAGATCACTGTTTGAATCCTAGAAGTTGAGTTAACTGTAAGCATGGTCCCATAGCAAACAGTTCAGTTTTTAGTTGTAGTATGGGCCAGGTTGCTAGATAATACTTAGCTGCTGATATACAGTGAATTGTGAGAGTGCCTCTGCGGGCTAGATACCTGCAGAGTAGATATTTCCCTAGCAAGGAAATAACCAGAGGTTAGATGCACTCCAGCACACATGGAGGAAAAACACTTCTGAAAGACTAAATGGCTGACCATTCAGCTCTGATTTGACATGGGAACAAATTGTGAGAGCCACACACACACACACACATCACTATTTTACTCTACTTGTTACCATTGTCATGCAGACATGAGTGTATTGAATCCATGACAAATAAATATGGCTCTGCGTTCTCAGATGTGAAATAATTCTTACTAGTATAGGACACTTATAAATCTGTCTTGGACACAATTACCAAATTTTATTTTTTTTAACGTGAGGTTCTCCATTTGGAGTGATTCGTTCTTATGATGCATGTTGAAATATTTCAATAAGACATGAAAAATCACTATTTTTTTTTACATTTCTTGTTGAAGTATGAATCCTATATATAATAAAATGAAAAGCTGCTAACATAAGCATGGTATCTGCCATGGCAGTAGTAGTGTTTACCCTTTATTGGAGCGTGGTGCAGCTCAGGATGTTAATTCATTACATTCATCTAACTTTTCATTAGTAGCTCTCAAAGTGCTTCATAAGTATCAGTATGTGTTATTCCCATTTTACACATGGAAAAACTGAGTCATTAAGAGGTTGTGACTTGCCAGATGTTACCATAATGAGTCAGTGGCAAATTTGAGAATAATAATCCCTAGCTCTTACATAACACTCTTTTCATCAGTAGGTCTTAAAGCACTTTACGATTGAGGTTAGTGTAATCTGTGATGGGTTGGATCACAGAAATCCCCTTGGGGCTGCCAACTGATGTGCCAAGACTACTTCTTTCCCTGCCTGCTTGGGACTCTAGCACCCTGTCTTGTTGAGCCAGACACGCCAGTCTGCTCCAATACAGACCCAGGTCTGAACCATGTGCCCCAAAGCTGCAGACTTAACTGAAAGCAACTTAAAAAGTGTTCCCATCTTTAACACTCAAGATGCCCAAATCCCAATGGGGTCCAAACTCCAAATAAATCTGTTTTTAAACTTATAAATTGTTCACCCTCTATAACACTGATAGAGAGATATGCACAACTGTTGCCCCTCCTCCCCCCAGGTATTAATACATACTCTGGGTTAATTAATAAGTAAAAAGTGATTTTATTAAATAAAGTAGGATTTAAGTGGTTCCAAGTAGTAACAGACAGAACAAAGTGAATTACCAAGTAAAATAAAATAAAACATGCAAGTCTAGGCCTAATACAGTAATAAAACTGAATATAGATAAAATCTCACCCTCAGAGATGTTTCAGTAAGTTTCTTTCACAGACTGGATGCCTTCCTAGTCTGGGCACAATCCTTTCCCCTGGTACAGCCCTTGTTCCAGCTCAGGTGGTAGTGAGGGGATTTCTCATGATTGCAGCCCCCTTATATGGCTTTGGGACAAGGTAGGAATCTTTTATCTCTCTGGGTCTTTCTCTTCTCCCCCTCCCAAGCACCAGGTTTAAGATGGATTTCAGTACCAGGTGGCATGGTCACATTTCCTGTGAGATTCCAAGCCTTCATTCCTCTCAGCCTGACTCACAGGAAGGCCTGCCTGCAAACAGAGCAATCCACAGTCAATTGTCCTGGCTGATGGGAGCCATCAAGATTCCAAACCACCATTAATGGCCCACACTTTGCATAATTACAACAGGCCCTCAGAGTTATATTTTATATTTCTAGTTTCAGATACAAGAGTGATACATTTATACAAATAGGATGACCACACTCAGTAGATTATAAGCCTTGTAATGATCTTACAAGAGACCTTTTGTATGAAGCATATTTTTGTTACATTATATTCACACTCATCAGCATATTTTCATAAAATCATATAGAGTGCAACGTCACATCATTATCCCCTTTTTACATTTTAATAAAACTATGGTGTCCTGCTTCTGTCAGATGCCATACCCAACGGATTACAATCCCTTGTGTAATGAATCAACAAGTACATTCTTAGTTGTCTAATGTGTTTCAAAGTGCAGGTTCTGCTACTTTAGCATTGCCCCAGAAAAAAATTCCAGTCAAGATTTTTTTTATTGTTAAAATGTCATACCGTTCTTATTTGCTGTTTGTATATTCAATAAAAAGCTTTGTTTGGAATGTTTTTTAACTTACTTGGATGCTGCATGAATTTCTGTGCACATGATAACTTAGTGCTACTGTGGCAGAGATGGGGGCTTGCTGCAAAATTTAGGGCTAGTATTATACAGAATATGCATGGCCCTGCTTATAGAATTTGTGCCTTTCTCGAAGTCATGCCTCTTTGGATACTGTCAGGATATTAAACTAAATTGCAACTTTTAACTCTTAAATATATATATATATTTTGTGGTTAAATGTAGCATAAATCTGGTCTAAGAAGTAGTTATTGCATTGCCACCACCAGGAGACAGGAATTGCTGTATCAGAATAGACTACTTTGCAGTGTCTCCTTTCTTCCCCCACAAACATCCTTCTGGCCAAATAGGGTTGGACGTTACACTCTCAGACCTTATCATAGTTCATGATCCAGAGGTATCATAATAGGGTGACATGACACACCCCTTTTATACAACTGTGTTTGTAGTGCTCTTAACACTTCCCAGTGTGGAGAGTAAAGGTCTAAATCCAATGTTAATTCCACTCTACAGGTGCAGGCAGCAAGAATTTGGGACCAGAAATCAAACACCTGGATGACAGTACAATGTACTATCACATCAGGCTAGTTCCTATTTACCTCTTCAGAAAACAGCACCAGAGAATTTAGCTTTCAAGACTTAGGGTTTAAACACTTAGGCTATTGTTTACAGTTTCATGGCTGAATCGGTGATGTTATGAAAAATTATGCTGTTGGAAAATATACAGATGAATTATCTAGGTTTTATGTTAGTATAAATTTGACCCTGTTGATAGTGTGATTTTTCTCTTCTTTAGTATAATGCTTCACCACAGCAGCAAAGAGAAATAATTAAGAGTAGGAGTCTGGACAGGAAGCTACAAGAACCAATAGTTTTAACAAAGTGGAGGCACAGCACGATTGTGTTGGACACCAATGACAAGGTAGGAATGAGTTAAAGAGCATGTTAGTATTTTGGTCATTGTCTGGTTTGTGAAGTGTTTAATTCACACTAATTTCTGAAGGATTCATTATTGGCAGTTTTTTCTATGCTACGTACCAGCAGTGTGCGTAAATATTCAACGAAACCAAGGACTACTTGAAAACTGGTATCTTTCTTTTTATTTTGAAATAGAGTAGCTTGTTTTTTATCTTTATTGGACTCTTTCCCTTTCTTCTGAACTATTTCCATAAGCCTTCATGTTGAATTTTAACTAATATTAATTTAGGCTTTGTATGTTCAAAACCATTTACTTGCCTCTAATTAGAAACCACCTATGTTTTGGTTAAAAATGGATAATATTTTGCAACGTAATATCAGTTATGTAAAATGCTCCTTACCTTGTATCTGAAGGCTTGAACTGTCAGCAGCAGAGATATGGTATGAAAACACTGGTGAAGTGCAAACATTTACAGTTTTCTTTTTCAGTAGGTGTTTATATGGGTTTCACTGTCACAGTAATATTAGGCACACATGGGTATTTGCCAAGCTAAATATTATCTTTAAGATGGGAGTGATAGTAGAAATATGTAGTGACTTTATTCTTTTAACAAATATTCCCTTGAGTTCCTTTGTATTTGGTTTGGTGAGGAGAACATTTCAGCTAATAATGTTGAGGATATACTATTGTCACATGGAGCTATTTTTGCTTATACACAGGGTATTGAAAGTGCTAAACATGTGGCTCTATTTTCTCTCCAGAGATCAACTGAGTTGAATAGCTCTTTGTCTCATTTTTAAAAGCTGCTCCTTGCACAGTGATTGTTGATAGTCCCCCTCAATTAGGTTCTTTTAGCACCTAACAAAATATAAAGAAACGTATCTTAAGTAAAATTAAAAGGACAAGTGTGCCCACTATACCCTTTATCTCATTTTAGCAATAGCTGAGTTAGTTATTACCATAAGATGCTTTCAGTAAATTATAGGTATCAATATAAATAGAGTAGAAATGAAACTAGCATTGTATCCTGATAAGTTTCTAGCTTTCAAAATTCAGCCAGAGCAATCAGTCTCAGGATTTTAATGGAAATCATGGGTAACTTTGCAATACTGAGGATATAAAATAAACTAGTTAAAATCTGATACCTATCAGTTGGAATGGATGCTCTGTCTCCTCTCTCCCTACCCACGGGGCCATGCTGAAAATTTCCCTTTAATAAAGGCAAAGGGGAAAATTAGATAGTTGGGAATATGGATCTCCATAGTTGTATAAACATAAATGGGCAACTGCTATTACAAATGTTAAAGAAGCTCTTGTTAAATGGAAAACGTTCTGCATTACTATTGAGTAGAGTGACTGTAATAAAAATGAATATGCTGTTTAGAATATTATAACTTCATACAGATGTATTTTTATTTTAAATCATTCTCTCTCTTAATTGAAAGAGAGTGCTTTCTTCCAGAAACTGAGTAAACTCAGGTGCCCAAAAGAGGGAGAATGTATTGGATTGCCTGGCTTCAAAAAGTACTATTGGACTACCCAATTAGAATACACACCGTGCCCGGAAGCCAATGGGTAGCACTTGTCTTGGAATCAAACAATTTTCACCTGCCCGTGTTACTTTATTGAAAACTTTATTTTGTTAAGAGAAATTTATTATATGGCCCAGCCACGGTACATCCCCTTTATACAAGGTCTGGTTCAAGATTAGGAAAGTTCTCTGAACACAATAGAAAATAGTCAGTAGTAGGAGGTCTAGGCTTTCCACAAGGACTCATAGATCCCATATTCCAAATGTGGGCAAGATTGGGACTCAAAAGAGACTACAAAATAATCGTTCACAAATAGCAGGCTTCCTATATCTATAACAAAAAGGTGTTTGAAACAAGAACTGGCTGTACTACCTGCAATTCAGAAGCAACTTTTTAAAATACTTCAATATTAAAAAGACTTGCAGGAACTGCATCCTATTGAAAAGTCTGCTATAAACCCTTTGACCTTAATAAATCTTAATATCAGCCTATAAAATACTAATGAAGCTTACTGAAGGGAACTCCACAGTTACCATAGCTCTTAGGAATAAAGGTTTAAACATAAAAATTAGCCAAAAGCCATGGATAAAAGATGGATGGATAAAAATATATTTTTCCAGAAATTGTGGACTGTCTAGTTCTTTTTAATCCCCATGAGCTTTAGTTTTTCAAGATTATATAATTTGCAATAAACAATAAATCTAAATTACAAGGAATGTAATTTTCATGCAATATGGTCATATCAGTTAACACAAACTTCTTGAGCAAAAGTAACATAGTAAAGTACAAGTTGGAGATTGTGCTACACACAATTCTGTATTAAATGTTAATACTTCTTAAAATTGGCAAATGCTGTATACTATAGTTAAATCTGCGCCCCCCCCCCCCCAAAAAAAAATTCCTGATGGCATAGATCAGTGGTCTCCAATCTTTTTGCGCCTAAGATCACTTTTTGAATCTAAGGGCAACCCAGGATCTACCCCGCCCCACTCACTCCATCCCCCTGCTTTCTCTGTCGCTCGCTCTCCCCCACCTTCACTCACTTTCACCAGGCTGGGGTAGGGGGTTCAGGTTCGGGAAGGGGTGTGGGCTCTGGGCTGGGGCCGAGGGGTTTGCAGTGGGAGGGGGCTCTGGGCAGAGTCTGGGGTAGAGAGTTAGGGTGCGGGCTCTGGGATGGAGTTTGGGTGCAGGAGGGGGCTCCAGGCTGGGGCAGAGTGTTGGGGTATAGGGTGCTGGCTCTGGGAGGGGGCTGGGGGTTGGGGTGTGGCATCCTGCCGGGCAGCACTTACCTTTGGCGGCTCCCAGTTGGCAGCAGGCGCAACGAGGCTAAGACAGGCTCCCTGCCTACCCCAGCCCCACACTGCTCCCAGAAGGGGCCAATGCGCCCCTGCTCGGGAGTGGGGGGGAGGGGAGGGAGATGGGATGGGATGTGGCTCCGTGCACTGCCCCTCTCTGCAAGCAGCTCTCCTGGCCAATGGGAGCTGCGGGGGCAATGCTTGCAGGCAGGAACAGCGCACAGAGGGAGACCCCTGTCTCCTCTCTCCCTGCCCGCGGGGCCATGCTGTCTGCTTCCGTGAACATGATCACAAAGGACAGTATAATTCAAACTGATCAGAATAAACCTTATAATGGAGCAAGTCTTGGTAAGAACAATACAGAACTTGGACGAGTTTGAAAGAAAATGGGAAACAATCAGCTATTTCAAAATAAAATATACCAACACTATATAGTTTTAAAACCATTTGATACTATAATATAGGGTATAATGTTCTCCTTGGGTAGATATTATTGAAAGCATTATATATGTTTACAATATATATATTTTTTAAAAAACATGGAATAAGTAAATATTAGTGATACTGACTTCAGACAGACACTTAAATAATTAAAGCATAATAATGTGTTTGGTACCGTACAAGTCATAAATACAAGAATCCCTGACCTGAAGGGTTCTATCACAGCTTTGCCTGTTTGATTCCCATAATGAAGAAGGTATAGCCATTTATGGCCTGCATGAATAATTTACACCTGTCAGTTTGATAGTGTTTTAAATATCAAAGTGAACACGTGACATCCATTTGATGTTTTTTCAGTGTAGAACTAAATCTTATCAGTATTAGGAATTCAAAGACTTCCTGTCTATGTTGGAGAGATTTTCCCCAAGATAAAAAATGGTTCAAACTAATTATAAATCCAATTAGTGCCCTAGTGTGGGCAAGGTTTTTGGACAGCTTGAAACATTTTTACTGAAACAATTTAATGGAATTGTTTTAAAAACTGGTTAGAAACTTTCCTAGTATAGACAGTGCTTCAAGGCTAGATGTACTATGTGCTCTCAGTTCCCACTGAAGTCAGTTTAGGACACTCAGCACTTAACTCTGTAAAGATTTCAGCAATGACTGGAAGAACCAGGACACTTTTGATTCCTGCAAGTGCTTTCACACACTGAAAGAACAGATATTACAAAATTTTGCTAATTATTTTCATTTTCAAAGCTGCGGAATACAAAAAGTAAACAGGAAACATAAGTAGTGAACAATAAACCTGAATTTTAAAAATCTATTGGTAATATTGCAAGTTATTAATTTCATTTGGTCTTTTATTAAATTATTACTTTAACCTCGCAACGGAGCAAGTTGAATATTGAAAAACAAAGCAAAAACAAATCACTATTCAACTTGCTGAAAAAAAACAACTCAACTATATATAGAACTAGTAATTGAGGGAAAAGGTGTGGTCCAATAGGTAGAGCACCACATTGGTGTTAGGAAGCCTGGTTCTGTGGCACTGTCACACACACAAACAAAATGAGCACAGAAGTGCTTATCCTCCTCTGGGAAGCATTTTGTGGTTGATAGTGAACAATCACCTCAGTAGCACTTTTCATCTAAGTTCTATTAGACTGAATCTCTTAATCTTTGCTTCTCTGGGAAGTGGCAATTCTCTATCTCTGATGTGAGGACTCTGTCCAAAGAGCTATAGTAGTCCATTATATTGCCATGTTCTTGACAATGTGTCACCAATTACATACTTGCCAATATTGAGATCATTCTCCACCTAAGCTGGGTCCTGGGGGCCATGGAAGTTTGGGGGAGTGTGCATTCTGGTGAATCTTATTTTCAGTGACTTACGGCTTCTAAAAGCATTCAGACACTTAAGGTAAGTCTATACTTCAATAAAAGACTTGCAGCACAGCCTCAGCTGGTCCAGGTTAGCGGACTTGGGCTTGGACTGCGGGGCTAAATATTGAGTGTAGACATTGGGCTTAGGCTAGACCCTGGGCTCGGGGACCTGGAGGGTCCCCCAGAGCCTGCGCTCCAGCCCAAGCCTGAATGTCTATGCTGCAATTTTTTGCCCCTCAGCCTGAGCCCAAGTCAACTAACCCAGGCTCTGAGACTCCATGCCCTGGGCTTTCTATTGCAGTGCAGACTTACCTTTAGATGCTTATCTTAGCCCAGTGGTCCCCAACCT